TCAGTTGTGTTAAATACAACATTAATAAATATTTCAAAGCAATATATAAAGACAAACATTTTAGATAAGATATAATGATGATTTTTACCTGTGACAAAAACCTTCTAAGGTCCCTAATTCCAGATTCCAGTGTTGTGCACATATTAGTATAGAATTCAGTGATCCGCACTAGAAACAATCGACGCATTGCGAGGTTCCTTAAGAATAAGACAATAGACAAATAATCTAGAATCGGAAGAACTAACAGAATTTATTTCAATATCGCACAGCACGATGGTTATCGACAGTTGCTACTTTCGATTTAAACAATCCGCTAAAGTAACAGCCTACACATATCCCATGGCTGCGCAAATACTTCTCTGTATAGTGGATCAGGAATAGTGATGGATTAGTGGACATATCTTCGAAATATTTTTTTAATATTATTTCGATAATATGGCGGTTTCCTCACGATGTTTTCCTTCACTGCTGAGCACGTGATAGGTCAGCACTTAAAATTTTCATTGCTGCCGGCACCGGGGATCGAACTCAAGTTGCTCAAGTATACTAAATTAAAGGCGTGTGCCCGTACACTGAGCTATCACGGCTACTAATCCGCTATAAATGCTGTCGTAAATATTTACAATACATATTCAAAACAATTTAATCAGGGGTCACACACACAAGTCTGCAATCATCCGCAGCTTTGTAATGCTGGTTGATATTTATTTTCCAAAGGTCACAACCCTCACCGCAAAACGTCCCACGCTGGACATATTTAACACGGGATCCACCGCGATCTGATTCCCGAGGGATGCGAGGGTGGAGTGTAGAATGACAAATGGTAAGCGACACAGCAAACGGTAGAACACATATGTCACAGATCATGTGATCGCACGGACCACGTATAAACGTTATAATAGTATAACAGTTACTTTAAACCAACAGAAATCCCTATTTGCGGTGCTACTGATTATTTTAATGCTCCGAACGGGAACGGAAAAGGTTTCCGAACCGGATGAGTGTTTGCCTCCACTGATATTTGCTCAGTTTATCCTTATAGAAAATAAAAGTTTAAAATAAAATGTGTTTAAATTTAAAACAAGTTTATTTTTTTTTTATTAAAACCAAACACACTTCAAATATCTCGCTCTGTATTCATTTTATAATTGATTTTCAAGTAGTTCCCTACGTATCGCCGGAGCCCAAGATCAAATACTATGAAATTAATACAGGACCACATGAGAAGCACCAGCTCTCAAGTAAAAAGAGATTCGGATCACTCAATCAAAAGTTCTGAGGTAAGAAACATAAAAAGAATACACTCGAATTTAGAACCTCCTTTTTTGAAGTCGTCAATTTTTCTAGAAAAAAATATTAATACCAGCTTCTTGAATTTTTAAACAAAATGTATTTATTGGATGAATAATGGTGTAAAGCAGACGCATCAGACTTTCTAACATTATTGATAGCGCGGTCTATTGTGCGTATTTAAATTTGTCTTTGGTATCTGGTCTACGCAGAAAGTGCTGATTCAAAGAGTTTCTCCTGAGTTTTTTGTAATATGATATTGTGACAATTGAACATGTGTTTCACCTGATGTTAAGTGATAACCGCCGCCCATGCACACCTACAACCGCTAGGTTAACAACCTTTAAAAATTGCCCCGGTTACCTCACTCAACAGACGAAACGCGAAAGTACTACTTCCAATTCAGCTTGGCCGTACTTACCCGGGTGAGCCTGCCCATTCGTGCAACTGTAGAGCAGTTGCGTGGCCCTACCACTGTGAGTTAGACCACCCACGATGACACTAGACACTAGCGTCACCTCCCTGGGAAAGATAAACCTTACTTAGTTTTCTCACAGCTGTAGAACAAGATCACAACGTGACTTTTATAAGGACGTTCTACCAACTTCATGATACTGCGATGTTTGTATTTAATCGCTATAAAACAGAATGTGTTAATCGCCGCGATCTAATTTCCTATTTAATGAATAAAGGTACTTTTATGCGAATAAAACATTCTGCTTAATTAATAAAATGGTAACTAAAAATAATTTTGAAAAAGAGTTGAAAGACTGAACTTATTTTTCTTTGGCGTTTGGCGTTTGAACAGGATCTTTTCAAAGGAAGGGGTTAAAATTTTCTATTTAACCTGTAAACATTTTCCTGTCAAGTGAGTTTCTCTCAGATACGGTTTATGTTTAACTTATGATTATTATTGTCCAATTTCTGGGCAATTAAACCCCATTTTAATATGAAAAAGAACTTATTCTTCCAAATAAATATAAAGACGCTGTTATATTATCAAAACTCAAAGGAAGTTTCGTCACTTTAGGGATATTAACGATAAGGGAACCCTTTTTTCCCCTCGCGTCTGCAAATAATGAAAGGGCGTAGGAAACAAACGGTTTAATTTCGTTAATGGAAAAGATTTAATTAAGGCAAGCTAACTGTGATCAGATTTAAAGCGCCGCTTCGTCTGTTATTTGGACATTTCATATCGAATTTATCTAGACAAAGATTTTTCAAATTAAATACAACAGAACTGTTGTAGACTTGTTTCTCTGTAAAATGCTGCTTATTACGAAAATTTAAATGAAGTTGGGAGCTGGGATTTTACTCAGGTCTAACATGTACACTAACATGATGACTTTAAAAGAATTAATCTTCTAAGTCTTGTTGGCTAGTAAAAGGTGTCTGTGATGTATTATTACGTTTAAATCTTTTTTATTCGCATAGTTAAAATTCGAGATATTCCGTGTATAGTTTGGTTAACTATTATATTACGAAAATTTAGAGTGTTCACCTTTACTGTGAAAGATTTTGAATAGCTAAAGAGAGAAAATGACTCGGTATCGTCGGCTTGTAGTTTGGCTTTTTACTTACTGTTTTCATCTAGTACGAATTAAATCAACATTAGAAATTATAATTGTATTGTCTGAATTAAAATTAAAATTTCTGGACAAACATGAAAGGAGAGTCAATTACATACAAAGCAACAAGGGATAAAGCATACGAGTTTGCACTTTCATGGATCAAAACTAGTCGACTACATATCCGTTATAATATTGGTATAAGCTTTATTACGTTCATTACATCTTTTATTTTTTATTATTGCATTATAATCGAAGAACTTCGTTTTTACTTCATTTTCATTTTTATTAACAATATTTCTATTATTATGTGTCTTAAAATTCAGTAAAAATATTAATCTGAAAACGCTTTCTTCTATGTCCTTAACCCATACATAGAAGAGCCCGCACGATTAGCGATGTAATTATCTATACCGATTCGGCGGCATTGTTTGGGCTTCTAATTGCTAACTCAATTTCTAACTCAATAACTAACACCCCTATATAGACGAGGGGTATAATTAAGGGAAATATTCGAGAAGGCGATTAGCGAAATGTTTGCTTAATTGTAAACGAATTTAAATTAAACGGAGACTCGATTGATTATTATTTAACTTCCCTTTATTGATTTCGATGGAACGTGTTCTATAGTTAAAATTTCAATAATGTGGTTTTTTTAATGTGAAATGTTGCCAAACGAGCAGATGGTTCACCTGATGTTAAGTGAATATCGCCGCCCATGGACATCTGCTGGTACACCCGAGAGTTACAGATGCGTTGACAACCTTTTGAAAATTGGGCTCCGGCTACCTCACTCACGAAATACTCATACGAAACTCGAAAGTATTTGTCATACTCCCACTTTACGCTGGTCTTCTGTGAGGTCGTGGTACTTACCCGGAGGGGCCTGCCCATTCGTGCAACAGCCGAGGCTGCTGCGTGGCCCTACCACCGTAAAGTTTTTTACTTTTAATTACTACTTTATGATGCGTTAAAACTCTTATTTTTGAACACACCATAAAGTAGTAAAGTGTCAGCCTATACATGTTCCACTGTATAAGAGCATAGACCACAACGTGACCCCACTGCGGATTGGCGGACTTGACATATCTTCGAAATATTTTTTTGCTATTATTTCAAATACAACTATGCACCTGCATCACGATGCTTTCCGTCGCCACTAAGCACGTGATATGTCAGCGCTTAAAATTAACAATTTCGTTGTTGTCGGGACCGGGATTTGAATAGTGAGTAGACGCAGAGCTACCACGGCTCACTACGCATCATAATTATACAAATTTAATGTCGTTTGCTTTGCATCCAATACAATGATATCATTACTTCATTAACCTTTGCTATAGTCGTGATTCTATATAAAAACTGATTATTTTCATCGTACGACTGATAGGTACTTACTAGATAGATACTTATCAAAATAAATGCATTTATATTATAAATATGTTTTTTTTTTACTACCACCGTGGTAAAGCTACGAATAATGTTCTGTGGCATTAACGGACTGGATTGTCCCCTGGCTTTTCACACGTTCATGACTAAAGCAGAACTATTTTTGTGACCCGGGCCAATGTGACATCTTTAATACCTTTTTTTTAATCATCCTTAATACCTGGGCTGGCTGTTTAGGATCTCTAAGTTGATATCCCGCCTGGTAAATGAGCCAACTTTCTACCATGAAGTCTGTGCATCATCTCTATCATCATCATCATCCTTACTGCCTGTTTTAGCCAACTGCCAAACATAAACCTCAGTATCTTCCTCCTCCCCATCTGCGTTGATATGGTTTAACAATGATTCATACTTATAAATTAATACAAAATACAAATATAACTAGGAAGGAAATTAATTTCCACCTAATTCGTCTTGCTGAAATGCCAAATAGATGAGAATATTTACAGAAAAATAATTTGGTTGATGAAAAACGTCCGTAGTCTTTTATGCCTATAGATTACATCTACGGGCTGCGCAACTCCACAGGGTTTTAATGAAACTAAAAGCGCTTTGTATTAAATATGAAGGCGTTGGCATAATCCCCGCGCTATTACACATGCGAACAGAAACATGAATTTATACAAGTACCGTTTTTAATCATGGAAGTTGTTTTGAATCTGCTTACGTCCGTCTGGCAAGTTTAGTTAATTCTCAGTGATTGGGTATCGGGCTGGTGACACGCCGCATCCTTGGGGCATCCCCATCAATTGGGCTGAAAGTCGGCTGGCAATCGGTCGGTGTGACTCCATCTGTGCACAGAAAGGTCTTCTCTAGCCACGGCTGCGGTATTAGTTGGGGAAGAATGTTAGCACGCACCTCATAGGGTGACATTGTCATCACGCCTCCATGAGATGAGCCAATAGAGCTAAGAATAGAGAGAGAGAAAAGCCTCGTCTTGTCGGGGAAGCATTCTAAGATTCTTGCCGGCTGGTAGATTTCTCCAAATTTGTCAGCCCTAGTGGTGATAATTTCGCAGACGCATCGACGTGTAGCTAGCCGAGGCGGCAACAGGGCGGGAATCAACCTCCCTCTACGAGGGTTGTCATCGCGTATAATGTTGAATCAATGGTTTTATAGGGTTTCGTACCCAAAGGGTAAAACGGGATCCTATAACTAAGACTATCTATCTATCGGGGACGGGACTATCCGTCTGCCACCAGAATGTAATGTCATGAACCGTGATAGTTAGACAGTTGAAACTTTCACAGGTGATGTATTTATTTTCTCGCTTTAACAACAAAAACTAAAAGAACATAAAAACCAGCTATCTATTGTAAATACCCGGTCACTTAACACTTATCGCATCAGCACTTGACAATCAAAAGCTTTACAAATATCAAAGTCGATTTTTGTGCTCAATAGCTTAGTTATCATTCGTAACAGCGCACCGAGCGTCAGAGGCGGGCGGTCTCACTGAATGGCTTTTCAATTAATTCATTCGCTAATGGGAATCTCTTGAATGGAATGGAACGTATCGGTCTCCGTTTGAATAAACGCCTACTACATCAGTGCCTACATGTGGTGAACCTTTGGCACGTTGTGAGGAATTCTAAACACGATAATAGTCGGTAACTTTTACTAGCTGTTCCTTATGCTGTTTTAATAGAGATATGGTTTATAAGTTACCATCTAAACTTACGAACGTATTAATTTTCATGTAAAATTCTGACATCTCATAAGAACGCGGAAGCGTCTATGTGAGTAAATATATTTTGTTATTTTGATTTTGATAACGCATGTCGTGGGGCGTTTTAAAATTGCTCAGCTGTACATTATATGGCATATATAAGAATGTTGATCCCGGTGGATAGCGAGCTGCTTTCAAACGGGATCGTTAAATTAATTCAAATCACAATTCCTCAATTACTCGCTAATTTGATCAAGCAGGTTGGACAAACCAATGGAGCTTTTCGACTTTGAAATATTCTAACACAAATGACTTGTGGTTTGATAGAAAAGTATCTAAATGTATAATATAGTACTTTTCTATCAAACCACAAGTCATTTTTTACTAACGAAAAAGTTACAAAATCGACATCAAATATCTCGCTCTGTACTCATTTTATAATTAATTTGATTATGATTCGGGTAGACGACCCGAATGGCGTAGTCGGTAGTGTACCTGCCTTCTGCGCCAGAGGGTGTGGGTTCGATCCCCACTACTGGAAAAATATTGTGTGGTGAGCATAGTGTTTTTCTAGTGTCTGGGTGTTTATATATGTATAATGTGTATTTATTGACAAAATAAAAGTATGTTTAATGTAGTACAAGCGTTGCTTAGTTAGAGAATGTTGTGTAAAAATGTGTCCTAAAATATTTATTATTTATTATTATTATTAAAGTTGATAAATAAACACCCACGCAACTTTCTACAAGAATAACATTCAACGTTTATCATAAACTAACATCAGAGTGGGTGAACTTTTACTGGAAAAACATTGTTAATATTTAGCAAGTTGATTTTTGAAGGAAAGAGGTTTTTTGTGTCTATGAAAGAACGTTAAAATTACACATGTCTGTTACGTTTTTTTAAGGTTAACAATAAAGCATAAATGAAGAAGAAGAAACGTTTATTCACGGTCTAAATAATGGATATATACAAAACTTAGAAAATAATGTAACTAAACAGTTATATAAAATAATATTGGAAAAATTTAAAATAAAATAGGTATGTTAAACATAACAACAAAAACAAAAATAAGTAAAGGTCTGTGTAGCAGCATAAAACATAAATAAATGAAACTAATTTTTATTCGTTTCGTTGGAAATTTCCTTGTGTAATACGGATTTTAAACACAGGGTAAAGATAACTTATGTAGCTAAACTTTATAGATATAATAAAGTAAATAAATACATAACTTAGATATGTTATGTATTTATTTACAAAAGAAACGTATGTTTAAGTATGACTATTCGTTTCCTAGTATCCGTAGTACAAGCATTGCTTAGTTTATTAAACAGTACCCGGAGGACCGAGCTTTGCCCGGTTTGTTTTTTTTTTGGTCAATCGTGTATTTTGAAAATTACATTTAGATAAATATATAAATACATATAATTTAATGAATTACTGAGTAATGAAATTTGCATAATATTTTTCGATCTTACCGACGTAATAATAAGAAAATATGATGTTTTTCACAAAAGAAAGAACTTTAAAAAAAAAGGGAAAAAGTAACAAAATAACAAATCGACAAAATTTAATTAAAAATAAAGAAAGCAATGATCTGAAATCGAAAAAAAAGTAAAAAAATAAATGTGTTAATGATCGTGATGCGAACCACGGCCGTCTGTTTTGGGGCCGCCCGATTACCGACCGAGCTTTTGACATTTTCTCTTGCGGCGAAATTTACCGCCATATTCGAATTATATTTTTCATTCCCTGAAAACAGGGATAAAAGGACATTTTCTAAAAATGAAACCTAGCTAGATCGATTGCCCCCGAATTTACGCACATACTAAATTTCATGAAAATCGCTGGAGCGGTTACCGAGATTCCGATTATATAGCTTGGCTTCCGATTATATTATATGGCTTTTTGAAAGAACTAAATAATACATTTCCTTTTTGATTGTGGATTGTGGTTTGATACAAAGAAAGGCAAATTCAAATGACGGATTCCAGCCGAATCAAGGATAAATATCCCTCCACCATTTTATTTTAAAGCACGGGAAATTTCTTAAGAAATCTTCCTTTGTTAATAGAGCTTCCTTATTTCTAAGAAAATTCGAGAAACAAATGAGCTGAATAATTAATGAGGGAGATTCATTTACAGTTGCCTAATTCTATGAGGGAGAAAAAATCATTTCTAATTAGCTCTTTAATTTGCGATTGTAATGAATCGCAATGAAATATTCATTACTTGGCAGTTTTACTCTGAATTATTAAATATTCAGCGAAAAGTTCTAATGAATAAAGGTTATACAGTTTTGTTTTATAGTCTATTACATTTTAAAATAAATTTAATGTACGTTGCTTAGTTTACATCATCTATAGTTTTGGTTTTTTAAGGTTCTATATCTATATACACTGTCTTTTAATGATAGGGGATCATAATTGCTCACATCATTCACAATAAAAAATGCATCAGTTTAAGTACTTCAAAAAATAACTAACACACTTTCTGCCAGTTTATCAGTTTTGTCACTTAATTGTCTAAAATGTTTCACAACAATCATTTCTACTTAGTGCCAACCCACTGTGTTGCGCCAGTACGTAAGTACGAACCGTCTCATTAACACTGCAGAAATCATAGTATAAAAATAGCCGAAATAGTTTATATTGTAATTTTTTTTTTTCTTTAAAATAAACACTGCCCTTACGCTGAAGAGTTTGTTTGTTTAAACGTGCCAATCTCTTGAAATGCCAGTTGGATTTGAAAAAAAATATGTTTTGCATTCGATAGCCATAGGAAGAAGGTTATAGGCTGTTTAACATCACCCTACTACCTACAGGGACGAAGCAGAAACGTATCTCGCGGATGAAGTCGCACGGAACAGCTAGTAGTAATCGTCACTGGCCACAGCACCTGTGAAGATGTTTGTTGCAGCGCTTGGCGTTATGGGTTGCCCATATTTGGTGGCTATGACCTATAGCAGCGCGGCATTTGCCACAGTAATATATTGGCGAAATATACTCGTGTTCCACCCACTCAGTCGAAAATCATTCGCTGTCGAGAGCGACCGGCGTCCGATATCGGCCCGGACATCTCTTTCGAATGCTATTTCAATTAACGCAGACGGTAATGGACACACCGCTCGAGTGACTAGATTCCATCGACGCGTGTTTTGTTTGTACAGTGCGGTTGCGAATGCGGTATTTATGAATACTGTAATATTTATTTATTTATTTGTATAAACTTTTACACAAAAGTTAGCATTGTGTACAGGCGGACGTAATGCGTAAGGCATTCTCTACCAGTCAACCTATGGGCGACGCAAAGACAAAAGAGGCAGGTGTAAAAAATCTCAAATCAAATTTTAAGTTAAAACAAAAGTTATATACATATTCATATATAATTAAATTTAAAACATATACATGAAAATATATAACGTATATAAACATATTAAACCCAATGTAACAAAAATATATTACATTATTTAAGGATTCAAAATAGAATATTGGCTTTCGTTTAATGTATGTAATGATCTGAATACATTATTTTTCATATATATTGATTAATAAAAATAATACGTGTTTCCCGTTTGATCTCCAAATCGCGTCATTTTGAAAAAGAGTTACCTATTTCACCGGCCCTTGAAAATGTTTTATTCTATACGGACCGTAGAAAACCCGGCTAAGTGCGCGTCGCACCCGCAAACGAAGGATTCCGTACCAGCTATAAAAACGGCAAATAATATCGTGACTTTTGTATGAGAGCCCCGCTTAAATATTTTTTTTTTATTTTTAGTATTTGTTATTATAACGCCAACAGAAATACATCATCTGTGAAAATTTTAACTATTTAACTATTACCGTGATATTCTCTATTCTAACTATTGAGCCATGATAGCTCTGTGTCCGGGCGCTCGCCTTTAATTCAATATACTCGAGCAACCTGAGTTCGATCCCCGGTGCCGGCACCAATGAAGTTTTTAACTTTAAGTGCTGAATTGTCACGTGCTCCGCGGTGAAGGAATACATCGTGAGGAAACCTGCATATTTTCGAAATAATAACAAAAAAAAATATTTCGAAGATATGTGAAGTCCGCCAATCCGCAGTGGGGCCGCGTGGTGGACTATGCCCTGATAGCCTCTATACCCTCTGTATAGAGGAGGCCTTTGCCCAGCAGTGGGACATGTAGAGGCTGTTACTTTACTTTTACTTTTAACTATTACGATTCATGAGATACAGCCTGGTGACTGACGGACAGCCAGACAGACAGACAGTCTTCTTCTCTTTGATACAGAATTTTCTTATTGTTAGGGCCGAATACTGAAACGTTACCTAAATATTTAACGGCATCTTAAACGTCTGAGCAGCCCTTAAACTCGTATTTTCAAATGTCATATTTAAGCATAATTATTTTAAATGTAAAAAGTCCATCAAGTTAAGTATTGTATTCTATTGTTTAATGCCTTCTTGCATTAATTTCTCGTTATAGAAATGTTACTAGCTTAAACGGAATATATTCTGTTTGTTTTTATTACATTTGCTTTAATACATGTTGATGTTGCAAATTATTTTTTTTATTTCACATTTATGCATATCAGGTCAGGCTTAACTGAAAGGGGAAACAGTTTTATATCAAACGGTATCTCAACAAAATATATTATGCTAATTAAACTCTACATACCGCAATTCAAAAGTATACCGTTGAACGTACTGCAATGTAAAGCAAAATTATATAGACCGTTAAGTGATTACCGTCACCCATGGACATCAAAACTTGAGTGGTCGCAGATCCCTAGCCAACAATTAAAAAGTAACCTCTAACGTTTCGCGTGTCGTTTCGCCTCGTAAAGCGAAAGTATAATACTTGCACTTCACTCCGCGGTACGTCTTTTTTATGTGAAAAGTTGCCAAGCGACCCGGCGGTTCACCTGATGTTAAGTGAATACCGCCACCCACGGACATCTGCTACCCCCAAGGGTTGCAGATGCGTGGACAACCTTTTGAAATTTGGGCCCCACCTACCTCACCCACCAGACGAAACGCGCAAGTATTTATTACAATTCCACTTTACGCCGGTCTTCTGTGAGGTCGTGGTACTTACCCGGACGGGCCTGCCCATTCGTGCAACAGCCGAGGCTGCTGCGTGGCCCTACCACCGTATAAAGTCTCCACATAAGTCTACAAATGTTCTGTAACTCCATCACAACGAAGAGAACAAAGTAAAACTTGGCATCCTACATTTAAATATTACACTTATTTTTGCATTATCTTCTGGCAATCATCGGCGAATACAAAAGGAGTTATTGAATTTTCTTGCGAAATTCCACGCATTAGTTATTTATCCGCCTCCGCTTACTGTAATTGGATTGATCCCGGAAACAGCTGACGGCTGTCAGTGGCCCAGACAATATAGCGTGTCACAGTCAAGTCAGAAAATAGAAAAAGCAAGGAAAGTTCTCATTTACAATATGATGTCGGTGACGTGACGCAATTTGGTCGTATAATAGTAAATTACCTGGAGGACCGAGCTTTGCTCGGTTTGTTTTATTTTGGTAAATTGTGTATTTTGGAAATTAGATTAAGATACAAATTACTGAGTAATGAAATATGCATAATATTTTTCGATCTTACCGACGTAATAATAAGACACTATGAACTGGTGTTTTTCACAAAAGAAAGAATTTTAAAAAAAGGGAAAAAAATAACAAAATAACAAATCGACAAAAAATAAAAAATAAAGAAAGCAATGATCTGGAATAAAAAAAAAGTAAAAAAATTAGTGTGTAAATGATCGTGATATGAACCACGGCCGTCTGTTTTGGGGCCGCCCGATTACCGACTGAGCTATTATAACATTTTTTTTGTGGCGAAATTTAGTGTCATATTCGAATGATATTTTTTATTCCCTGAAAACAAGGATAAAAGGATATTTTCTAATATGAAACCTAGCTAGATCGATTTTTCGACCCCGAATCTACGCACATACTAAATTTCATGAAAATCGCTGGAGCCGTTTCCGAGATTCCAATTATATATACTTATACAAGAATTGCTCGTTTAAAGGATAAGAGAAAGATAAGATATTATCTTCAAAAATTCGTTTAATTTTGCCAAAAATTACCAATTCGTGTAATGAAGTAACAACAAATGCAATAATTTATTTTAAGTTGTTAGGGCTAGGGTTCCGTACCCCAAAAGAAAAAAAAGGAATCCTTACAAGATCACTGTGATTTAACTGTGGCAGGGCTACGCAACAGTTTTCACTGTTGCATGAATGGGCAGGTCCGTCCGGGTAAGTACCACGACCAGCATGAAATAGAAGTATTACGCTTTTGCATTTCGTCTGGTGAGTGAGGTAGCCGCACATTGTTTAAAGGTGGCAACGCATTTGCAACCTTACGGATTTTGCAAATGTCCATGGGCGGAGTTTATTATTACTTAACTACCACTTTTTCACATCCTTCACTTTTTCAAAGAAATCCTCTTGTTCGTCTGTCTGTAACCAACGATTTTCTCAGGAACCGGTGAACCTAGCAACTTGAAATATATACCAGATATTGAAGTCTAGATCCCTGTTAGGTGTATAAGGAATTTTACTTGCGCTGTAAAACCTTGCTTTTAACCAATTTTTATTTAATCAAACGTTTGGCAATTCATTGGTTCGTAGGCCAGCTGCAAGGAATTTGGGTATTCTTGCTAATGTTTTCCCGGTGAGAGGTATATTATCTGGGTTGCTTCTAAGCCCATATAAAAGTTAAATCCTGTCATGTATCTTCATACAACAGTACTTCACTGCTTACATATTTATGCGTGTGCTCTAAATGACACTTGGGACTCGATGCTGAGGTACACGAAAATTAATTACTAATATTTGGATACAACAAGCTCTGGGCACCGCTGCAGGGTAGCATCCTCTCGGCTTCCTACAGGCTTTTGTTGGGTTTTAGATTAATTCCAAAATGCGTAACAGAATACGTCGACTATACGTTAGGTTATGAGGAGTATGATTCAGACTTACAAGAAAAGATTACTACCTCTCCTCTACTCTACCTCTTCGGATTCATTGCCGATAATTTAAAACCAAGCGCTTCGTTTTGTCGTTCTTTATCCGTATAAAATTTGTCCAACGTACATAACGAATGTCTTTAGCCCAACAGTGATAGGATTTCATTGAGTCACTTGTGTCATTTAGCACCTACGGCTGTATCGCCACTTATCATCAGACGGGATAAAATTCAAAGGCGCTCCCCTATTAAAAATGAAAGAAAATTAATACACGTATTCTGAACACAGAATCATGACCCGCGAACCCTAGACTCTTCGTTAAAATTAAAGCAAAAAAAAAATGTAGACTGATTCCCTCGAGAGTCGCAAGAAAATTCTCGAATATTCCGTTAATGAGCGGCTATTCCTCCTCGAAATTTTCATACCAGCCCAGAACCATTACAGAGTAATGTAATAGCGACACTCGCAATTAATGCTTGGCGCTTATTTTAATTGTTACTTGAATGATATGAAATTGTATATTATATAATTGTATATTGTATATTATATTAAAATCCTGGTATCTATCTTTACTTTCTACCACTTCTATTCTTGGCGCCATCTAGTGAGCACACTTTATAGCATGAAGCACCTTACAAATAACACTTATCATTAATATATGTAACGAGAAGTGTCACTTTTTTTAATTATGATTATTTCATGTACAAAACATTCATATTCTAAGTTTCATGCAAAATGGACGATAAGCTTTTCGCCACCCCTGGAATCCAAGCCGCGTCTCCCGGAATGCGCACAATCTTTTTAATCGTAACCGATGGTAACTTACGAACGTATTAATTTTTATGTAAAATTTTTGACATTTCTTAAGAACACAAGCGTCTATGTGAATAAACATATTTTTGATTTTGAATTTGAATCTCTTAAGCTAAATCAACCATCGATTTTGACTACAAAGTAAACTTGAATTAAGCTAAGAACGTCCCTCA